CCCCAAAACCCCAAAACCCCAAAACCCCAAAACCCCAAAACCCCAGCCCAAGTACAAAAGTTGAAACTAGAGTAACACATTAATATCCTAGAAAACATAATGAAGAGGAAGAGAACCAGAGATTACAGTAAAGGTAAGCTAGGGCTTTTGGGGGATTGAGTGGAGGATAATTTGGTGTAGGAAGGTTAACTCAGAGGAAGAGCTCACAGGAGGTGACAGAGAGGAGGGGAATGAAGAAGATAGATAGTAGTAGGAATCATGTGAAATTTGATTTTTCTCATATGAAATGAATAAGTCCTCAAATGACTCAAAGGAAATTGCCTTCTGTTAGTTTGATACCCTCCAGAAAGCCAAAGAGTTGTATGAAATTGGCGAGTCCAAACACAGCTAATTATACATCAGGTATGCAATTTTTGCATCTTCCTCTACACCATCCTGTCTACAGATTCTCAAACTTTTGTATAGAAACAACCTCAAATTTTTCAGACTCATCAAAAAGACTGATTCTTCCTCACATAAATAAGAATGGCCATACTTCTAAGTTTAAGCAGGTGCTAAACATCGATCATGATCTGTCATTATCAAATGGTAACTAAAATCCCTAATTAACCGTACATTCTGCTGTTTGGTGAACACTTTTAAAATATTCTGAACAGGAAAAACTCACCAGTTTACGTATTGAATTATTCATAACCACCGCTATCTTGAAACCTATGTGAATAGCGGTGGCTATTTGTTCAAGAGTCAATTCGAATCTTCGAACTGACCAAAATCTGTTCGGTTCGAATCTTATCTCACATATCTTGGTTTAGAGATGGAAGATTCTGACAGTGTTTCGAATTTTTCAGATTCTGTCAATGATAATATGAGCAAACCGAGTGATATTACTCAAAGGAGTGTAAGTTGAGCCTTTGTTTGGCATCGCTTAATATGTTTAGAAATTTGACAGTACTAGTCTCAATAACATGCTTAAAAACAAGAGTAAAGGAACCTCGGAAATTCTCACCATGATATTTAATAACAACTATGATAAAAATAAAAGTAATTAAATTAAGCTAATTTCAGAGTCCAAGCTTACTGGGGCTTTGTCGCAGGATAGGTATAAGAGCATTAGAGATGCTCCAAAAGAAAATGTAGTCACAATGAGTTGAGAAGAATTTTCAAGCTCTAGCTTTCCATTTGAAAAGAATTTGCTGATCGATAAAGACAATATGAAGGAAATAGTCAAAAGGTCAACAAAGAATCTGAGTAAGTTTGATTCCATACTTTATATCTTACTCCCCATTTACATCCTAACCCCATCCACAGCCTATTTCTCCCATCTCGAAACATCTAATTCAACTCCACACAAACCCACCAAGTTCAAAACAAGTAAAACCTCTACAAAATATTCATAATCCTCCTAAAAATTCCCACCCTATCACCACGTTTCAACACCTCTCAGTTCCCCTGGGGTTTTGGGGTTTTGGGGTTTTGGGGTTTTGGGG